CCGGGGATTGATCGACTGTTCAGGTTGTGTAATGCTTCCCGAACTTTAGACTCCGTGAAGTGGTCGTGGAGTTCGGGTATTATTTCGCATTCTATCTGTGGGTAGTCGGCGGGTTGTGCAGTCTTTAGGGGGAGGTGTCGTTTGGCGATTTCTTCAAGAAAGAATGATTCCGTTCCTCCCGTCTTTTTGTGCGAGAGTAGGAGACTGTCTATGGCATGGCTCTGGTGTTTTTTGTTTGGCGGTCACCAAGCATGTACTTTAAGAGCTCCCATTATCCCCAGTTCTCATGCGGCCGTCGACCGCCGAGCAGAGTTCATGCCATTGGAGTCGTGTGAGCTCTGTGCAATATTTTGTGATGTCTTGGTTCAGTGCTGATACGCGTTTTTGTAAGCCTCTTTTTAGTCGTGTTTTCCAGCGCATGAGTATTGTCGTTCTTGCCTTGAGCAAATGTGCGAGGTGTGGGTCCATTCTCGGGACCTCTAGTTCTGTTTGTTTGGTTTTAGTTGTTTTGGCTATGTCTTTCTGAATTGAGGTGAGTAGTTCAGTGAATGTGTTGTATTCCTTTGTGTTGTTTTTGCGGAGGGTGCGGAAGGCATCCCAGTCCATTAGTGTGAATGTACGTGGTAGTGGGGATGATGCGTTGGGTAGTTTGGTACGTATGATGAAGTGATCGCTGCCCAAGTTCTCTTGCGTATAGGTCTAGGTGTGGCCTGTGACGTTACGGGTAAATGCCAAGTCCAGCATAGTGTCGCGTTATACCGATGTGCTGAGTCTTGTAGAGAATCGGTGATCTGTTATGAGTGTGAGAGACAGGTCAGGCATTGCTTGCGTGAGGTTAGTGCCTTTGCTGTTGCCTGGGGGTAACCACATGACAAGTGTGGGGCATTGAAGTCACCTGCTATAACAAACGGAGAGAGTTTCGCGTGAGAGTTGTGGCTCTAGCTAAGAACGCATGGAAAGACTGTCTATAGTCTGAAGGGGAGCTGTAAACGTTAAGGATAAAAACGCTTTGTTTTAGAAAACGGTTTGGCACAAGTTCAATAAGTATCGTCTCTAGGCAACTGCGGGTGGGTAACACTTCATGAGCTTTGTGAGCGAATCTCTTACTGATGAGTGTGGCTATACTTCTCTTGGTCTTCCCTCGTTGTGAGATGAGCTGGTAACCCGATAGTGTGAGCGTCTAACAAAGGGTCTCCTGTAGTGATATTACGTGAGGCTTCTTGGGTTGCGCTTTGATGTACTGCAGCTGTGGGGTTTTGCGGTTCGCGAAGCTAGCACAATCCACTGGCAAATTTCTAACGTGTTTTGGGTTCTGGAAGCCATGATGATTACATTGGATTTGTTTGCTCAAACAGCTATGCCGTTGGATCCATAGAAAGTACTTGTCTGAGTTTGGTTTTAGTTTTTATGGTGGCTTTTTGATCTAGTGCTTCTACCCGGCATGACAGGGTGTCAATATTATCGTGGTTTTCTCGCGTAAGACGTAAGATTTCGTTTAGAGTGTCTTCTGGTGAGTCACTCTCAGCAATGCCCGTTAAGCAGAGTGGTGGGGCTCTGCGTTTAGGTTTGCTAACATCTATAGAGGCTGAGTGGGAGCTGTAGGGCCTGTGAGAGTTTGAATTTGTTGTCTTGCTTCATTTAGTTGCATGGTGAGCTGTTGTATTGTTGCACAAACGCCTGCTAGTTCTTGTAGCATTGTGACTATCTCGCTTTCGTGCTCTGGCAATGAGGCCCGCGTTACCTGTTTGATTGGTGGCGTGCTCCGTTGTGGTTGTTGCTTCCCTTGGACTCGATCCGCCTATGTCAGCTCAGCCTGGCAAGGTGGGGAGCGTCTCCTGAGTGGGAGTGGCTGCGCTGGGCGCTGCGACGTCTCGCTGCCGGTGTGAGGGAGCAGCTTTGCCTGGATGTCGCGAAGGTGCTCGAGGTGGCGCTGGAGTCGCGGGAGCTGGCTCCACTCATTCCTCGGGAGTGACTGCGACCATGTTGACGGCGTCGTCGTTGGCGTACGATGTACGGAACTTGAAGTTTACGTTTGCAGTCCATGTGGGCGGTGGGGTGCGGTCCGCCGCAGAGGGTGCAGTGGGGCTTACATTGGTAGTTCTCGGGTGGGGTATTGAGTCCGCACTTCGGGCACCACGTTGTGTTAGGATTAGGGCAGACGTCTGTGCTGTGGTCAAAGCTACTGCAGTTGTGACAAACTTCCGTGTGTCTGCGGAAAAGTGTGCACCGAACTATTCTTGCACAGTAATTGGGAACCACAGTAATCGGGAACTTGCATTCCTTGGAACAGGATTGTGACGGCTGTGGTGTTTTTGATGCGTTTCACTTCTAGAGCACTGGGGTTGGGCTTTGTGACGATCAGTTCCCGGAGCTGGATGTCGTTAATGTCGGGGTCGATGCCTCGGATGACGCCTTTGGAGGTGTCATCGGGTGGAGCCGGATATACAGCAACTCGGCACAGGGTGTCTCGCAGACGGAGTTGCTGTGTCGTGGTATAGGCTCGTGCGTTTCGTTCACTAGGGGTACACACGACGAAAATGTTCTGAATTACATTTGGGCATATGGAGTCTTTCATGAGGTCTCGAGGAGCCAAAGCGACTGCCATTGACAGAGCTTGCTCAATCTGCACCGGTGTAACTTTAGCCACGTTGAGGCCATCTCGGGGCCTTACAATTATGCGATAAATGTCCCTCGGTAGTTGAGGGAGCCTCCATGTAGCGACGAGGCGTTGATATGCGCTCCTCGGTCCGGTGTTGCGGCCGCCGTCCCTACGTCGTCCATGCATACTTGTTGATTTTGTGTCTTGGGATTTGCTTTTGTTTGGTTTATGGTTGTACACCGTAATCCAGTCTGGGCCATCCGCTTCTTCAGGCGATATTGCTACGGCTTGCATGATTTCCATTATGAACTTGTGGGTTAGGGCAGGCCTAGCCACCTTAACATGCACGCTGCAAATTTTTATTGTTCAGCAATGCACAGGAGAAATCTCCCACTGGTACTACCTTGGAAGTCAAGATCCAGTGCTTGTATATACAAGGTAGCCAGTGAACGGTCATGCAGTGCGAGCAGTAGGTTTTCTCAATCAAGAAACCGTCTATCCGTCGCTGCCTGTGTCGGCATTGCGAGGCAAGAAAAAGGGTGAGAGGGGGAGGGGATGCACAGTAGTGGTGCATGGACGCCACCAGATCAAGCTCGCTCATAATATGCTTTGCATCTGAAAAATAAGCGGTTGTATTTAACTAAAAAGTTACAGCTGTACCGTAATGGTGAAGCAATAAATGCACTAGCAGCAAATTGTAGAGCTATTCAAAGTGAGGCTGGCAGTTAACTGTTTTAGATCCTGGCAGCTGAGCTAGCGTGCGCGCCAGCGATCGCGATCACGCCCTCAGAAGCAAAGCTCATAGTTGTTGCTCTGGCAGTTCCCTCGTCCTCTCCCCCTTCCTTTTCTTTCTCTCTATGCTTTCAGGTTCGACTACAGGTCTCCGGGATAGGGGGGTGTATCGGATGTTATTGCACGCGCCCTCCGAGCAGCGGAGATGGGCCGGATCGTTTTATCTCTGCTTCAACCGCATTCGTGGCCCTCACTTGCGCGCTTTTACCTGTGGATAGAACATACGATGTGCGAAGGTGTGTTATCAATTTTAAATTTATACGAGACATGAGGACAACGAAAAAAAAACATGTCTGGAGTGTCCATAAAATTTCTATCGCAATAATGAGGCTATTGAACAATTTAGCTGAGTGTTTATAAAATGTAGTATTGAACAAATGTTGCTTCACAAGTGCTTTGAACAGGGCCAAATCTGTTGTGAATGTTCATACTCCTCTATACATGCTCGAGAAGGCCATTCTGGCTTCTCCGAGCTTGCTCGAAAACATCTTTCTGGCTGTTCCAAACTTGCTACAAAAAGCACTTTTGCCTGCTCTGAAACCAATGTACTCTATTCCACCCCTGTATGGGCAATCAGTCGCCAAGCATCTCAATGGGAATACATTTACCGGAATGTGCATGTGGTGGTAAAAGGCATGTCTCCAATGAGAACACGGGTGTTGTTATGTGGCTACACACTCTGGATGACATGAACTAACGAGAAATGGCGGAATTTTGTGGCAATCTTAGACAAGTTTATTTTTCTTGTGTGGTTGTACTCGCAAAAACTTTGTTATAGCGGAAGTATCTAGTGAAAGTATTCATTATGGCCAGGCATTTTTCACATTGTTTTCTATGGATGGTTGACAAGGAATTGAAAATTATTCGTAGTGTCAGAAATTTTTTGTTCTAGTGGACTTTCTTACAGCAGGATTCGACTGTAACACTGACAGCTCATTGGCCCCTATTTTCACTAGACTTATGCTTTGTTATAATATCTATCCTATACCACTTGTGATTATGAACCGTAAACTCTGTTTTATATGCACTCACACCTTCATATGTCAAATTCCGATATAATGAAAACTAAGTTATATTGAAGTAAATTAAGAATAGTGTTGGGGATATACCTTTATAACGAACCTATTTTTTTGTAAGATGCAACTTTGTTATAATGAGATTTGAGTGTATGTGCTGATGGGCTAGTTGGTGAGCCAAGGTTCTCAAAGAAGCAGTGCACAGAAGTACACAAAACACGCACACATGAAAAGATGCCAACACGCATTGCTTGTGTTTGCGTCTTTTTTATGTGCAAGTCTTGTGTCCTTTTGTGTGCTGCTTCTTTGAAAACCATTTTATGTGAGTCTTATTTGGGATTTAGAGACAGAGCTTAGAAAATCTCAGCTTGACAAGAAGTGGACTAGTAGTTGTCGAGCAGGAAACTTGATGTTGGTAGGTGCTTGCGCCAGTTTGAGAAAGAAAACAAGCCTTAGTCATAAGTTAGGGAACTGTGATAGTGCTGTTTTTAGTGGTGGAAGTGTTGACTGCATTGTGTGCTGTTTGCTGTGCCGTAACTGTTGCGCTGTGTGTTCATGCTTTTTTTTTCTATTTGGTGATGTTACTTTTGCAGGTGCTCGAGGATGTGTCTGTCAAAGAGATGCTGCACGTCAAGGGACGGTTGTGAGTGATTTTCTTTGGTGTCATATTTTAATGAAAACAAACGTCAGCTGCTATCTCCCGCAGGACACCCACCAACTGTAGTAGGGATCCAATTTCACTCATACAATTGAAGCATGCTTGCTGTGAACAGTGTGTTCTCTAAAGGAAGGCATAAATAAATCAATGGATTGCATGTGCTCTCTTGATTGCCAGCTCTTAAGATTTTATAGCAAGATGGCTGAACTTGAGATGTTTTCAACAGTTGTATCAACATGTATGATTTTATGATTTTTATTAAGGTAGTTGATCACAGCAGTTATTTTGAAGAAATACGAATGCAAAGATATTTCAAAGCCGTATGTTATGAACCTGAATGCAAGAGAACCTGCTGCAATGTTATCTACTAGGATTGCTGTCGAATCTCGCTGTAACGAAGTCTGCTAAAATGAAATTTTTACAACAAACAATTTTTCGTCAGCCACCCATGAGAAAAAAAACTTACTCCATCTTCTGAAACGGAACCCTGATGGAATGCGAAGTAACGTTGCGCATGGGTGGCGTCACAGATTGAACGGCGCTAATGCGGGTGCTGGGGTGAGGGCTGGAAGATTCGTTTGAAGTAATGGCTGGCGTAGGCCTTGTAGGTGACACGTACAGACATGTTTCAACCCATACGTTAGGCGTGCATCAGGTTTATTGCATGCGAACCGATGAGTCGACGGTGTAGCGAGCGGCAGCTGCGGGAGCCACGACGAGCGCGTGGCAGGCGAAGAAAGCATGACTTCAACGCGCAGCTGTGGCGTGACCTACTTGGAACGCGTTGCGGTGCGTTTGTACGGATGGACTAACTTACGTACAGCGTTAGACACGCAAGTCAAAGAGCTGCTTTGCATCTGAAATGTCTCGCCACAATGAATACTTTTGGATACTTCCGGTTGAATGAAGATTTTGCAAGTGCTTCCACTTGGAAAAAAAGGAACTTGTCTGGAGTGCTGCGAAATTTCACTAGTGATTTGACAAAATCTTGTTGACTTGTGACTTCCATAGCTGCGTGGCTGCGTCTCAACACCCGTGTCTTCTTCAGAGACGGGCTGTCTGCACCGCATGCGCATTCTGGTGAATCTTTGGTTGAATGACAACCATGGTGTTGTGATGCACATATGCGACCAGTGCTCAAGGATCTTCACAATGCTGCGCTTGTCATTCACGGTCGCAGGGCTAGTGACAACAAGGGGTAGTTTTCTTTTAAGCGCTGGATCTAAAACATGATGGGAGTTACTGGAGAACAATTCTACCACGGCTCGCACACGCATCAATACCATTGGCAGTATCATGGTGCACGGGCGATCTGTCACCGAGCATTTCAATCGCAATACCACAATATTGATAACTAGAAATACAAAATATGTATATTAAGCTCTAAATTAAAGCATTTCAGGCCTCAAAAATCGTTAGAAGCACTAACATAACGATTCGCTCGCAGTATTTGAAGAACAAGGGGTGAAGTGCAAGTTATCTCACATTATTTCGCATGAAAATAGTCTGTAAACTTGTCTTGCTTCTTAGGCGTCGTCAAGTTGTAGTCGTCCTCAATATCACTGAAGGTTTTCAAATAAGCGAATTCAGCTCCTTCTGTCACAGCAATGTTGATTGACCCAGAACGCCTATGCAAGCTTTGCAGTGCAGTAAAAAAATGGTTAGCGGTGGCAGTGAAGACGCTGGCATATTCATAATCACACGGGTACACTTTTGCGGCACCAGCAATGGCAGCCGTGATCTCGGCATCGATGCAGTCGGAAACAGCTATGTCTTCTGCACCAATAAAGTTGGTCACTGTCTGAGAAGGCGCCAGGAAATGCTGATTTGTCGCAGAATTTACTGAGGCATTGTACGCTGTTGTCAGTGGTCATGACGTACCCGAAGTATTCACATGGCCCGCAAGGAAAGTTCACGACGGGGCTTTACTTGACGTCGATGTAAACGCCAATCATAATTGCTATTGCTATGTGCGGGTCAAAGTTCTATTCAACTCCTGAATGAGGATTTATCAGGAACGAGGCGAAAAGTACACGTCCACAAGGCGCAAAAGACAACGCCGTGTACCCATCGTCGACATGTTCGAGATATCGATGCCACTTGTGACTTTGTAGCTGGCAGTCACTGCTTTCAGCTGCGAGGGTGCGTTTTAAAACTGAAAGTCTTAAAGATACGTTGCGAGGTTGCACATCTCGAAGGCCATGCTTCTCAGGCTCGCGTGCCATTGTGTGCCAACAAATAAGAAAAGTGTTATGCAATGAGGCTCGGGGAGCGGTCTTTGTGAGAGGTGTGGGGAATCGCCGGTGAGGGCAGCAAGAAAGAAGATACAATTACACTGCACACAAACATATATTTCAACACACAAACATAGAAGCTAGCCAGATACATGATGCACTGCATAAGGTGGAAGCCCAAAATGTCTCTACAAAAGAGTTCAAAACATAGAATGCTCACAGTTTATAAGGGGTGAAGCGGTCGTGGCGTTGTCCATCACAGACCCGTCGCACACACTGGCACACTGACAAAACGAGCACTTTAGAACACCTTTATCAGGTGAAGGTTTGTTCACTATAGTTGGCAGCCTTCTTTGGTATAACTACCGAAATACTGTGAATTAAAGCCTACTCCTCAAACCTTCATTTCTTGACAATGGCGTCCGTGACTGAGACTTTCTCAGTTTATTAAACTCACCAAGGTCAGAGCAGTGCAGTCAGAGAGCATCGCTGAGGGCTTCACGCAAGATGGACATAATATTACTGATCGGAGCAGGCGAAAAACGTGGCTTACAAGGGACCCAACATAAAAAATGGGCAGAAACACAGCCAGAGAGAGCACATCAATTTCGATGCAACATACTTATTGCAGAATGTCAAGAGGTAGAAACCGCTTTACGGAGGCTCGAGCTGGAGCGCGAAGCTTGTGATGCTGCAATACGCAGAAAAGAGTTTGAGCCCATCAGTTTTCATTAACACCTGCTTGTCGAAGAGCCACACTTATACAACAAGGTGATAAGCAGTGATCTTGATACTGAATCTATGTCTAGGATTAGAGAGTGATGGGAAGTGCGTACTGCAACCGACTGCTCCCAGCATGTAGAATTTAACCAAGACATTACATGTCAGCCATTGCTCGTGAAGGAGCAGATAACATCTTTTGAAACCTTTCCTCATGAGAAAGAAGCTGCTGAAAGTTTACTTACTGATGACGGTGGTTACTACAGTGAGGCAAGTAAACTACAAGCTGTCACATGCATAGCAGATGTCATGAACTCAAATGACACCCTTTAAGTGTTGAGATAGGCACAAGTGTTTCTTGATTTCAGCAGAAAACGAGCTCAAAATTAGAGAAAAGCGCCGACCTCCCTTTACGCAGTCTGGAAAGCCAGCTAGGCCGAGGAGCTTTGCATGTGCCACTCGCATTTGGCACCAAACATTGCTACACCACTCAATATTTGCTCATCAGAAGAACGTGGCAGAAGTTCACTTGTTTGCTTATTTATTTATTTATTTATTTTGTGAAGAAGATTTATTTAAGACAATTAATTTATTTTACCCTCAAGGCCAAGGGCATTACAGAGGGGGGTGGGGGTTCCTGTAGGTGGAGCAATACAACAAAAGAAATAAAGTACAGCAGCAACAACTAAACATATACACTTAACATCTGTCACATTGTTAATAATGCAGTGCAGAAGCGTTCATTTTCTTGAATGCCAGCAATTGGTCCAGGAAGGTGGTTCGATTGGTTCGATGTTCGAGGAATAAATGACTGAAAACAAGTATTAGTGTTGCACGTCATAATGCCTACTTTGTGAGGGTGGTCAGTGCGGGACGAAACGTACGAAGGTGGGGAAATGAGATCTGTGCGTAGAATAGAGTTGTGGTAATAAATTTTATGGAACAAGGAAAGCCTACTGTGTTTGCGACAGGTAGCCAGATGAGGTAACTGCAAGGAATTTTTCATGGATGTAACACTGTCTATTTTGCTGTAATTGTGAAGAATGAAACGAGCAGCGTTGTTCTGGACTAGTTCTAATGATTTAATGAGAGTTTCAGAGCTGAGGTTTCATATTGAAGCTGCGTATTCTAGTTTTGACCTAACTAATGTTTTGTATAACAGTGTTTTCAATGAGACCGGTGCGGAACGAAAGTTGCGGCGTAAGTAGCCTAACATGCGATTAGCGCTGTTAATTAAATTCTCAACATGCAAAGATCAGGTTAGATTATCACAAATATTGACACTTAAGTACCGATATGATGTAACGTTTTCGAGCAGCGTGTTATTTAGATAGTAAGCAGGGGAAGAAAGCGTGGACCGCGAAACATGCAAAACCTTGCATTTAGTAGTGTTAAGTTCCATTTGCCTCTTCAAGCACCAATCGGATATGGCAGCAATATCATTTTGCAATTTGTTAGTATCATTAACATCCTTTATTTTGTGAAAAATAACACAGTCATCAGCAAATGTGTGCACGTTAGGGCAAACACAATCTGGCAAATCATTAATATAAATAAAAAAAAGGAAGAGGACCAAGAACGAAACCTTGGGGCACACCAGATAAAACGGGACTAAGTGAAACACACAATCTGGCAAATAATTAATACAGTAGAACCCCGCTGATACGTTTTTCACGGGACCGTAAAAAAAAAAAAAAACGTAGGAGCCGGAAAACGCAAGAGCCAAGAAACGCGAAAAATTGAGAAATAAGAGTAATGGTGAACTGTACATAGTTTTATTTTAATTCTTTCCCTTGAAAAAAATCATGCAGCGATGCCTGGCGCATCTTCTCACGCCTGACAAGCACAAGGCGTTTTTCAAGCACCTGTAGTGCCATGTGGCTCTCGCCATCGTCACTGGTGCGCACATATCTTCGCAATAAATCAAGTGCCGCTACGACCGATGAGGACGTTGGCTCCGGTATTCGCTCCACCTCCTCCTCAACTTCCTCGTCACTGGCGCACGGATCGGCGCACTTTTTCACAACGCGG